TGACCACAGCTGACCACAGTTAAATGTGATTATTTAAAGGGGGATGATTGTTCTATACCCACTGTATTTGCAGTGATTTGCCTGGAGATGAAATTTAAGTTTGTACTTATAATTAAATTAAGATTCATTTTAAAAACATACTAATTGATTACATTTTTTGTATATGTATAATATTTTTAAAACTAATTATCAACCTTAATTAAAATTGAAATTATCATTTTTTTCATATTTTTTAGTTCATTTGATTCAATTAATTTATTCTTGTATGCATTTTATCAATGTTTTTAATTTAAGTAAAAATAACATTTAACTTATATAAAATTATTTAACCTGTGTATATAAACTGAAATGACAAAAATATAGTGTGTGTGTGTGTGTGTGTGTGTGTGTATATATATATAATTTATTTATATAAATAAACAATGAATATCTAAAAAGAAAAGGTTATATATATATATATATATATATATATATATATACAGTGGGTACGGAAAGTATTCAGACCCCCTTAAATTTTTCACCGAATAAATGCAGCCTCGGTGAGCATAATAGATATCTTTCAAAAACATTAAAAAAATTAAAAATCCCCAAAACAACTCCAAAATTTTGGCAAACAGTATTAGTTCTTTAGAGGTCTACTAATAAGTTCTGCTAATCATTCATAACTCCAATATTGTATAAATGTATTCTTCTTCTACAACTAAAAATAATCTATTTATTTATTTTAAATATATTTCATTATTTTTTACATTTTAATTTATAAGTGATTATTTATTACTAAATAGAAATGTGAAATTAAACAATAATTAGAAATATTTTCTGCATATCGGTTATTTGAGAATTAATAAAAAAATTAAAAAAATCTGAACGACAATAGTCATAATCATGTCTCCAAACAAAAAGTATAGATTGATGTCTGTTTTTTTTAGCATGTTGATATGCAGTTGCTAGTAGTTCTTGGTGGTTACTAGGGTGTTACGGTTCCCACCTCCAGGGATATTTCAATCCCTTTATTTAACTCATATTTTTACCTGTTTTTTGTCAACTACAGTTGCAAGTTCTAAAAGTAGAAGATGATGAAACAGAAAAGTCTCTCATGCCTCTCCCTCAATATGCGGCACAGTTTGAGTTATCGTTCTAATCTGTCATACAAACGTGCTGTTTCTGCTGTGTCTGCAGGTGGATTCATGCCTC